TGGAGCTCAGTTTCTGGCTGACAAACAGTTCCTTACACCCTAGGTGGGCGCCTACGTTCTGATCTGTGAGTGTGAGCAGACCAGCATCCGCTGATAAAGTCCCTTTTTTCCTTGATAAGGGCTTAACAAACATTAGGCATTGTTTTAGTCTTACACAGCCAGTGCTGTTCCAGATGTCTCCTGGGAGGCATACACCTTGTACAGAAAGCCGTCTTCATCTTTCTCACTCTTGTACACTTCAGAAATGGGTGTGGACACACTCACCATGCTGTGCCGGTTCACCAGGAGGAAGAAAGCTTGATTGGCGTTAAGCTGTAAGCGCCTTCTAATTATCTTGATGAGCTCGCTCATGTTCACGTGATCAGGTACAAGTAACTTGGTTTTGTCCAGGACAGGCAGTTGCTTCTCACCCTTGTATCGCTCTATCATCACTGGGATCTTGGTGGGGTGCTGCTCCCGTATGAGCCGGACATCTTCCACTCTTTGTTCAAAGCTGCGGCCCTGCTTGAAGGTCTTCTCGGACGGCATGGCGTGGGAGTCCTGGGTCGGAGGCTCTGCATTCCAAATTTTACTTTGAAGAATTTATATCGTATAAGAGCAGCTGGAAGAAAACTAAAAATCAAAAATACTAAGAAGGAACATTGCCTTAGCTGATGTGAGGATGTGCTGTAAAATGGGTTAAATGAAAACCATACGATGGTGAGTCAGGGTATCGAGCCCCAGAACCAACTGTATTCAGGGATTTAAAGTCCAGGAAAACACTGGCTTGATGGTTTTTTTTCTAAGTAGCATGTTCAACACATTCATGAAACAATATCCTGTGTGCAACCATTTGAGAGGAAAAGACATTCCTATAATGTTCTTATTTTTATTTATCTGTTTTTTATTTAAAGTTTAGGCAGTGTACATTTTTTTGTATATAAGCATAAATATTTTTTTAATTTTTGAAAGTAGATTATAATCACAGTACTTTCTCTCTTCACTTTCAAAACTCCCTCCAACCCTACTCATGCACCCCACCTTGCTGTCTCTAAAAGTCATGGTGTCTGTTTCTTTACATTTTATATATATTTATAAATACATAAATAACAACTAGCTCAGTCCTTATAATGTTACTTGTATGTATATAATTTCAACTCTGACCTCTTAGTACTGGATGACCAGTTGGGGACACTCTTCCCTGGCAAAGACTATTTCTCCTGTTCTCGGCATTTCCTAGTGGCCTAAAATTCTGTGTCCAGGGTTGAGGCCTCATAAGCATGTTATGCTTATTATAACCCCTTCATGCTAGTATGTCTATTGATGTTGTCCTTGTTCAGGTCATGTCTAGGCAGCCATGTTAGGGAGTCTTCCTGTGGTAGCTTCTCTGACATTTCTAGGAGAGGATCTCATAGCAAACATCTTATTCCTCTGACTCTTACTCTTCCCACCCCCTCTTCTGCCATAATCTCTGAGCCTTGTAGGTGTATCAGATACGAAAAGACTTTTAGGGAAAGGGATACTAGGGTAATCTCTTTGTGAGTTCATCCAGGCATCTTCTTAATTAATATGAATATTGATTCATTTCTAATTAATTAATGACATGTATATGAGAAGTTTTCACAGACTTGTGGTGAAGTTAGTTCTTTCTGTGTAACAGTTTGTTTTCTTTTTTTAGTGATTCTCTAATTTGTTTCTTTTTGCTCTTATGAACTTAAATCACTTTGCAATATATTCTACATTTTTATATGAAATATGGGCACTAGGCAAATAATTTATGACAGCTTGGGTACAAAGTGGCTCCTGCATTTATGAAAGAAGGAATGTGGGATTAGTTAGAAAGAGTTACACACATGCTGCAGAAAGAGGAGGACCATGTGCCCTGATTCTCTTATACCATGTTACTGCCTGTGGAGAAGAACAAAGATGCAGTATTTCATTAAGATGTGTTAAGTGGAAAGTAGTGTCCTTGTGGCTCTTTTCCATCTACAAGCAAACCTGTATAGTTTCTGAGACAGTTAAAGCAATAGGAACCAAGACTTTGAAGCACAGATAGAAAGACATACAGGTATAGGTGATGCTGTAATTAAAAATACCTGGGGATGACTAACTGCCTCTACTGATCATAGAGATGCATTTCCCTCCAGGATTTCTATAGGGGTTGTTTTTCCTCCAATCCACTACAATTGGGATTTTTAGAGTTGGAAGGTATCCTCTACAGCATGCATACAGAATGTATGCACAATCCAGTACATTATGGGCCAGACAACTTGTCTTTTGAAGTTACTTCAAAATCTCTACAAATCCAAGATTCATGTTTAACACTTGTATTTCTTCACTGAGATTTTTTTTTACCACTGAATGTTATTCATTTTTGTGTTTTTTAATATTTTGTGTGTGTGTGTGTGTGTGTGTGAGAGAGAGAGAGAGAGAGAGAGAGAGAGCGAGAGCATGCACATAGGGCATGCTTATGAAGGACAACTTGCAGGAGTCACTCTTTTCTCCTTCTACCATGTGGGTTATGTGGCTCTCACTCAGGTCTTCAGGTTTGGTGCACATACTTTTACCCACTGAACCATCTCACCAGCTTGTGAATTATACCTCTGCCAGTTTTTGTGGTGTGCAGCAGATAGACTTCAATTTTCTGTGGGCTGTCAAGCTTTTGAAGATGTTATTTTTGTTACAGCTGATGGGGGGGGGGTGGTGTTCTTAGAGAACCTCAGGGACGATGACGTTGCAGGTATGTCACCAGTCAGTGTGCTGAGGGATCTTCTGCTCTACCTGGACAGGCATAACGGGAGGTTCAGAAACACTGCAGATGCTGGTTTCCAGTCTTTCGTTTTCCTTATTGCCTGGCAGCAGTGAGTGGTGGCATTAGGCAGGAAGAAGTCACAGCAGGCAGCACCCTCTGACACTACAGTCCCTGCTCAAGCCTTGGGTATCTGGATCATTACTGGGTTTGTAGTCCCTGTGAGGGTCTCAGCTTATCAGGACCTTTCCATAGGAGTCACACACTCTGCATCTCCGCAGAGGCTGATGGTACTTGTCAAGGCACCTTGGTCCTTGTCGATGGTGGTTGTTACAGCTTGCAGCCCTGGATCTGAAGCTGCTGACCCCAAAGGATTGGTTAAAAAAACCTCTAGGAAGTGATGTTAGAGAGCAACTTTGTTCTCTGGAGTTTGCGTATGGTTTACAGAGAAGGATAAATGCTTTGCTAGGTGGTAAAGTCTTGGATTGGGGTTTCCCAGCATGCTAGAGAACGCTGATGAACCCTCTACCTGGTCAAAAATATGTTGTAGATTTGCTCAGTTGTTTGACAGGACATGTTCTAACACAATTTAAGCTTATCAGCCTTCAAATATCTTTTAAATGGTAAGTATCTTTATAAATGAGCCCGTTTATCTTGGATGACTGAATAGGGAAGCGTTGCATGTCTAATTCAGCTGGACTGAAATGTGCATCTTTTTGTGATGGGATTAACATTTAGATACTCTGCCAGTTGTGTATGTGATGGTGTTCTTGGATCTTAGAGCCCATAGAATTCTCCAGTTTTGTGGGATAGGTAGACTTTGCGCTGCATTTATAAGCAAACTAGTAGCAGATCTGGCTTTCTCTGGATTGTCATCTATTTGTTAATGTGAACCGCTGGTGAAAAGAGTGAAGGTGGGTGTGTGCTGTATGTGTATGTTTGTGTGTGTGTATTGTCTCTGTGTCTTTCTGTTTGTAGGGATAATTTTCCCTGTCAGATATGGCTGGTTGCTTTGTTAGGCTTCATACATTTTCTTATAGAAAATGTTTACTAGGTTTTTAATTTTTTCTGTTTTCCCAAATGCATTAGCTATGTTTTCCTGTGTGTCAGCATGCCTTCTCTCTTGAGCATGGCTGACAAGACAATCTCCTTTTCAATGCAACCCAGTGCCTGAAGAGAAAATATTTTGGTTATTATTTTTGTGAGGAATCATAGGGATTACTCTTATAAAGGAAGTTTAACATTTTTACTCATGAGTTTTGATCACAATAAAAAGTTGCCTGAGTCCAGTGCTTTGCTCTGAAGTCTGTTTTTAGTATGTGTATTTAGCTTTACATTGAAGTTTATTTTTTTCACTGTCATAATGTGAGTTGATGATAGATGGAGTGGTAGAGTTTATAGATAAGGATCATTCTTGCAGTTTTGATTTTAATCTAGCTGAAGTGTTTTGTTTATGTGTATTATGTGGCTGCAGGAGTTTATGTGTGTTACTTGCATGTAAGTGCACTCATAGGTCAGAGGGCATTGGGGTCCCTAGAACTGAAGTTACAATCTATTGTGAGCCCCTGACATGGGTGCTTAGAACTGAAACCTGGTTCTCTGCAAGAGCAATAAGCACTCTAAAACACCAAGCCATCTCTTAATCTCCTGTTGTTCTTTTAACCCTCTCCCCATCCACAAGTGGGAGTCATTAACTAACAATTTATCACAGGACAAAAAATTATTCATTGTAAGAAGGGCTGTGGATGTAGCTCGGTGGTGAAGTGCTTACCTGCATATATGAGACCTGGAGTTTGATGTCATCCATCCCCTTAGAATTATTGTGAGAGCAAGGGTTAGACTGTTTCTCCATGTTTTCTCACAATGTGCTAATTTATAAACCAAAGGTCTTAGACAGACACAAATAAAATGCAAGTAAAGAAGTAACTAGTGTATTTTAATTACATTTTACTTCAGAAATAAAACATTTCTTTTTAAAATAAAAGTTTACTGGCTAATATTCAATGTATAAACTGATGGGTTTTATTAAGACTTCATTATGCAAATATGTCTATATTTGACTATATTTACCACTACAATTTCTCTCTCCTTCTATAGTTTGAATAAAAATGGCCCCTATAAGCCCATAGGGAGTGGCACTATTAGGAGGTGTGGCCTTTTTGGAGTAGGTGTGTCCTTGTTAGAGGAAGTATGTCACTGTCTGTGGGCTTTGAGGTTTCAGATGCTCAAGTCAGGCCCAGTATGACTCACTGTCTCCTCTTGCTGCCTGCAGATCAAGATGCAGAACTCTCAGCTACCTATCCAGCACCATGTCTGCCAGTATACCATCATACTTCTTACCATGATGATAATGGACTAAACCTCTGAACTGTAAGTCCGCCCAAAGCAATTGTTTTCCTTTATAAGAGTTTCTGTGGTCAAGGTGTTTCTTCACAGCAATAGAAACCCTAACTAAGACACCCACCATTAACATTCATTCACTCAGTCTGGCTTTAATTTTCAGTGTGTGTGTGTATAATTCTGGATTCACAGAAGAGAGAACATGCACAACATTTGTTTTTCTGAGTCTGATTTGTCTCACTTAATATGATGAGTGCCCATTGTGTACATTTTCCTATTGATGGCTGTATAAAATTCCCTTGTGTATATACACCACATTTTCTTGACCTGTTCACAAGTTGAAGGACACCAGGGCTGATTTCATAATTTAACTATTGAGAGTAGTGCTGCAGTAAACCTCAGCAGTGTATAAAGGTACCCTGTCCCTGCACCCTCACTGCAGGCATTTGTTTTCCTAATGATAGCCATTCTGGCTGGGAACTCAATGCCGTGTTAACGTTTTTTCATGCTTATTGGCCATTTGTACTTTATCTTTTGAAAACTGTCTGTTCACTTCCTTCACCCATTTATTGGCTAGATATTTGGTTTCTTCATATTGTTTTGAGTTCTTTTAAAATTCTAGCAATTAGTTCTCTGGCAAATGTATATTTGGCAAAGTCTTTTCTCCCATTCTGTAGGCTGTCCTGAACTCTTGCTATCCTTTATAGATGACCATCACTTGTGCTTTAGTTTGAAGTATTTTCCTTGTGTTTTCTTTTAGCAGTTCAGTTTCATGTTGTGCTGCTTAGTTTTAACTGTCAACTCGACATTTCCTAGAACCACCTGAGAAGAGGATCTTAATGAAGAATTATCTAGATCAGTCTGGCCTGTGGGCATGTCTGTGGGATATTGTCTTGATTGTTAACTGATGTGAGAAAAGTCAGTCTATCACAGGAGCAGTGTTCCCTAGCCAGTGTGTCCTGAACAGCATGAGAGAGAGGATAAAGTTAGCTGAGATCAAGCAAGCAAGCAATGGTCCATGCATGTATTCTCTCTCTGTTTTGGACTGTGGAAGTAGTGCCTCAAGAGCTCTTGACTTCACTGAAATAATGGACTGTAACCTAGAGCTGTCAGCCAGATAAACCCTTCTTCCCCTCTGTTGCTTTTTGCTCAGACTTTACTTTATCACAACAACAGAAACGAAGGCAGGACACATGCATATCTTGCATTAATATGGTTCATCCATTTTGTGTTGGTTTTTATAATGGTAAGCAATATGGATCTAGAATCATACTTCTCCATAGAATATCAATTTCGATATCCTGTTATATATTATCAGTGTTATAAGATGTAAATTTTTTTCTGGTGTAATCATCAGAATCTTTCAAATATGGAATCATATCATGTACAAATAGGGATAATTTAAAATCTTCCTTTCCAACTTGTATCATTTTCATTTTATTCTTTTATCTTATTTCTCTAGCTAAGATTTTAAGCAGTAAATTAAAAAAGAGTGAAGAAAGTAGACACTCTTGTTTTCTGATTTTAGTGGGAACACTTTAAATTTCTCTCCATTAAGTGTATGAGGTACATTTCTTCTATTCTTGGTCTTATCAGGGCTTTTATCATGAAGAGATGTTAGACTTTGTCATAGACCTGTATCTACTGCTAGGATCATATGATTTCTGATTTTGAGTCTTCTTATTTGAAGAATTCATTTATAGCTTTACACCAATTGGTCCATTTTTGTATCCATGGAAGGCTGTCAACTTGATTATAGTGAATGAACTCTTTGCTGTACGGTTGAATTGGGTTTGCTAGTAGTATGTATGTATGTATGTATGTATGTATGTATGTATGTATGTATGTATGTATTTTTGAGATAAGGTTTCTTTATGAAGCTCTTGCTAGCCTAGAGCTCTCTATGTAGACCATGATGGTCTTTAACTCACAGAGATCCACATTCCTTCCCCCCCCTCCAAATGTTGGGATTAAAGGCATGCACCACCATGCATGGCTACCATCATTTAAAAAAATTAATCTATTTTATGTGTATGGGTGTTTTGCCTGTGTTATGCTTTTGCCTCATGTATGTGCCTGGTACCTGTAGAGGCCAGAAGAGGGCATTAGATTCCCATAGGACTGGAGTTACAAACAGCTGTGAGCCACCATGTAGGTGCTGACAATAAAACCCGGGGTCCTCTGGAAGAGCAGGCAGTGCAAGAGCCATTCCTTAATCACTGAGCCCTATGCCAGTATTTTTAAAAAAGAATTTTGTGTTCATTTTTATTAAGAAGAAAGGATTGGGGCTGGAGAGATGGCTCAGAGGTTGAGAGTAATGACTGATCTTCCAGAGGTCCTGAGTTCAATTCCCAGCAACCACATGGTGGCTCACAACCATCTATAATGAGATCTGGCACCCTCTTCTGGCCTGCAGTCATATATGCAGGCAGAACACTGTATACATAATAAATAAATAAAATCTTTTTTTTTAAAAAAAAGAAAGGATTATTAGTTTCTTTTTTGATGTTGTGTGAGTGTGGTTGTTATTTATTTTGGTTTTGATATCAGGGTAGTACTTATATATTTCATAAGACATAGGCATTGAATATTTTTTAAAGGTCTTGTCAAATTAATCAGTGACTCCATCAGAGCCAGGCTATTTTAGTTGGGGAGACATTTAAATCACTTCAATATTGTGTATTTTAGATCTCTTTGTTTATTTCTTCTTTGTTTAATTTTGGTAGGTCATATATGTCTAGAAATTTATTAATTTCTTTTAGATTTCTTAATTTATTAGAATATAGATTTTCAGATGATTTCCTAGAAACCTGAAGTTGATATCTTTTAAAATGTATCCCTTTTCATGCCTACTTTCATTAATTCAGCACTTCTCTCTGTTGTAGTCAATTTACCTAAGGGTTTTCAATTTAGCCTATCATTTCACAATCCCTACTACTTGAATCATTGATTCTTTGTATTGTTATTTACATTGATTTCTGCCCTGATCTTTCTCTCCATCTCCTGATTTTGGGTTGGGCTTGTTCTTGTTTTTCTAGGAGACTGAGATGTATGGTTAAATTTTTCATTTGGGATCTCTCTAATTTTTTAAAATGTAGATATTTTAACAGATTATCTATTATCTATCTATCTATCTATCTATCTATCTATCTATCTACCTATTATCATCTATCTATGTCTATCAGTTATCTATATCATCTATCCATATCTGTTAAGTCCACTGGATTTATAATGCTATTTAACTCAGATATTTCTTTGCTGATTTTTTGTCTAGATGACCCATGTATTGGTGAAAGTGGGATATTCATGTCACCAACTATTACAGTGTTGTGAGCGTGTACCTTTACTTACAGTAATGCTTTTGTTTGTCTCGATTTTTTTAAAATGAAATTTGGTTTACTGATGTTCCAAATCATTACAAACTGATTTTATTTGTATCTTCTAATTTTGATTTGAAGTCTAACTTTTCCTTTACTAATGTGGCTACATCTTGGTTGTTGTTGTTGTTATTATTATTGTCTTTTTTTAAACTTCCATTTCCTTGGAGTGCCCTTTTCCATCCTTTCAATCCAAGGTAGTTTTTGTCCTTGTGAATGATCTTTGTTTCTTGTTTGTAACAAATACATAGATCCTATTTCCCAACCTGCTAGTCTATGACATTTGATTGGGTATTAAGGTCATTTTAACATTTGAAGTTATTATCAGTAGTTAACTACTAATTCCTAACATTTTACTGTTTTTTTGTAATGTTTGGTATTTTTCCAATACTGGTCTGCATATAGAGTATTATAGTAAAGTTTATTCTTTCTCATAGCCTCATGGGTATATTTATTTCCCTCTTTAGTATGTAGGATTCTTCTTGTATTTTTGATAGTGCTCACATTGTGGTCATAAATTCTTTTTTAGTTTTTGTTTATCTCAAGGTTTTTCTTTCTCCTTCAATTATAATGGATAGTTTTGGTATATATAGTAATCCTGTTTGGTAGTTACTGTATTTCAAAGCTTGAAATACATAGCTTCATGGTCTTATTTCAGAGTTTCAGTTGAGAAATCTGCTATTATTCTAATGGGTTTGCTTTTTTGTGCTTTGGTAATATTGTCTGGTGACTTCCAAAGTACTTTCTTTGTTCTATATATATTTTCCCCTGGTCTTGTCTGTTTGGCATTCTAAATGTATCTGCAAAGCCATCTCTTTCTCTAGATTTTTATTTTTATTTTGCTTTTGTTTTATTGAATATACTTTTTATCTTGTACTTTTTCTCTTTTTATGTGCCCATCATTCATATACTTGGTCTTATAATGGTGTCCTGTAAATCCTGTATGTTCTGTTCATACTTTATCATTACTATATCTATGTTGTGAGAACAATTTAATTCCCAAATACTTATCTTCAGGCCCTGATAGTCCACCTTCCTGCAGATCCATTCTTTTTCTACTAAGATTTTTAACTGGTGGACTGAGGTTTTCATTTTAAATTTGTTACTTTTTCAGTATTTCTACATGTTGACTAACTTCCTTTTTCTATATATTGTGTTGACATCTTTATTTCATTCAGCTGCTTATTTGTTTTGTCTATGACTTTATTCAGAAGGTTAGTTATGTCCTTTTTGAGTTTGTTGAAATGCCTTATAATAATTCTTTTAAATTCTTTATCTGTTATTTCATCCAGTTCACCCTCATTGGAACCAAGTACTATGGAACTGATAACTTTTCCAGGAACTGTGTGGCCTTGAGTTTTATGTTTCTTGCACTGGGATTTTTCACATTTGGGATTAGGTGATAGGGTGGATTTTATTTTTAACTGTCTTTCCTTTTCCAGTTGAAGTTTTTTTCAGTGTTCTATTGGGAGACTACATAGAGGTAGGGTTGAGGTCTTATTATTCCCCTCTGGACTTAGAGTGTATGTCGGCCAGCATCTATACTTGCAGATGATTTTCCAAGGGTACTGCACATGATTCAGCACCATTCTGACAGTAGAATATTAGTGGAAGAAGCAACCCCAACTGAGGATGGTTCCATCTCATGTATTG